TTTGTGTCAAATCACACCTTTTTTATGGTTAAAAATGAAGGAAAAGTTATTGATATGATGGAAAATATTATTTTATTGATGAATGTGTGGTTGAAAATTAGTAGAAGAATGAGAATGAAAAAAAGAATGAATACCAAACAGAGGCTAAGTGTAATTTCCCTGTCGGTGGTGGAAATTAGAGGTAGAAAAGTATGACAGTGACGATAGGTACGTAGTCTGTAAGGTTGTAATAAAAAGCATTAATTCATCCGCACAACCGTGAAAAAACAAAAAGCCATAATGTTCTTAACTACTTTCTTAGTAATTAATATGACTGCAGGAGAGAAAATCATGGCCGCTATATTACTACTCTTTTGAAATTCTCAGTAGAGGACATGGTTTTTTCTACCTTGATTTGGACTCAAAATACAGAAGTTAATATGGGAGACTTTTGTTAGAATTGAGGATTGGAGAAGGAAAACCATACATTTGTATTATTCTCATCCATTCGTTTAACACTCAGGTTAGAGAAAATTCTTCATTTCTTTTCCCTTAGCGTCACGTTTCCCATCCCATGTTATATGTTACTGATATGTTCGATCTGCAATATTGAAATAACGGGTGTGTACATATAAAATAATCCTTCCTCATATGTATATTAGGACTTGACAAAATTATAAAGAAGATATTAGATTTTTTTCTTCTTTGATATAGTAGTGTCTACTCTTTCAAACGCACCATAATAACTACCTTTCACGCAAAGGATCGTCTTATATATTTCTCGGAGCAAACAAAGATTTTATGTTTTATCGTCAATAACATTTGTATATTTATGTAAGTTAGCTGAATTTAGACAGCCAAAGTAGGACTTCTGCTAAAAGGTTCGGATCAAAAGAAGATAACTAGAATTAGAAAAAAAAAAAAAACAAAGATATGATTTCTTGTAAAGTATCGAAATGGGGCAAAGATTTGACTAAACACATATATAATTATTTTAGAAAATTATCATTGTCATAAAAAGATTTTGATTGATCTTAAAAGAAAAGGACAATAATCACTTGACAGACTAATTGTTTGTATTTAATGAACATGGAAAACTGACCTTACGACAAATATATAGTGATTTTTCGGATCACAATTAAGTCAACAAAATTCATTTCACTAGTCAATGTATTAACTTTAAATAATTATCGACTTCTCCAAAAAAAGGCAACGAATGAGCTATGAGACGGAGCATATCTAAACACATATTTAACTTTTAATTATAGCTTTCATAGTGTCCCCATTTTCCCTAATTTAGAAGCTGGTTTTACTTATGTCGTGTTTAGTACATACTCTTTAAAATTCTTTCCCAATTTCTGTGTTCTCCCTCTTCAAAATCGAATCCCTTCACCTACCCGATATCTTTCTTCACCCTCTCCACTTACCAGCGGTTTCTTTCTCCATAATAGAGAAAAAAAAAATTATGTTTTGCAGTCTTTCTTAGCATGAAGAGGACTCAGGACAAGAACACCACCACGAGGAGACGCTGTTGGATTTTGTGACCCAAATTAGGTGGAATATTTCGAAAAAATATTTCCTTTTATTTCACGTATTTTATTGAAAAAACATTATTTCCTTTTATTTCACATGTTTTATTGGGAAAATATCATTTCCTTTATTTCACGTGATTTTTTTTTATCTTGTTTTCATCTTTGTGATGTTTCTAGGTCCTATAAATAGTAGATTTTTCATTCAGTTTAGTAGATTGCAGAAGTTGCTGAAAGTTGTATTTTCTCTCAATTTGTTGTCATTAATACAATATTCGACTTCTCTGCCAATTTCTTGTTTGCTTTCTTTTAAATCTTATTTTTGTTTATCAATTTGTACGATCTATACTTCATATTGCGTCATATCACCTCATCGAATTCCTAACAAGTGGTATCGAAGCCAATGTTCAGCAGTTCCGCAGAGCAAGGATTTGATTGTTTGACTTTTTTGTTATCGATGACTACCTTGAAGTATAATATTTCACTGTTGGATCGCAGTACGAGATTTTCGTTGTAGCAAGTGAAGATGAGAGCTATATTGACACAAATGGATTTGGATGATGCTTTGTTAGAATTTGATAGGATGCCCACAACTTAGACAACAAAGGAGAGGCAACGGAAGGATCGCAAGGTATTTTCACATATTCATCTTCATCTATCTAACAACATTCTTCGGGACGTCTTGAAGTAGAAGACAACAGCTGCATTGTGGTTGAAATTGGAGCAATTGTGCATGACCAAAAGTTTGACCAGCAAATTGCATCTGAAGCAAAGGTTTTATTCTCATCGTATGGCAGAATGTCGATCATTAGAAGATCATCTGATCGTGTTTAAGGAGATCGTCGATGATCTGAAGACGTTAGAGGTAAAATATGATGAAGGGGACTTGGCCTTAATCCTGTTGTGTTCACTGTCTGGTTCGTTTTCGTCGTTTAGGGACACGATTATGTACAGTCGTGACACCATTGAAAACGTGTATGATGCCTTGTTCTCAAAGGAGAAGATGAAGCATATGGTTGGTGCTGGTTCTAGAGATAAGGAAGCTCTTATGGTTCATGGTGATCGGCAAAGGGGCAAGTCGATGGTGGATTTCAGCAATAAAGTCTGCTTTTACTGCAAGAAGAAAGGACACATCAAGAGGGATTGCGAGAAGTCATAGAGTAAGAATAATTCAATCGCAAATCGTGGGAGGCAATCAGATATTTCGGACGAGACCAACGTAGTTGAGGACTATTTGGGTGGAGTAGATGTTTTAATAATTTCTGACGTGGAATCCAAGCATGATGAGACAACTTGTGCATTTCATATGAGTCCACATTCGGATTTGTTCGAATCGTATGAAACGGTGACACAATGTGTCGTTGTTATGGGAAACAACGAATTTTGTCGGGTATCTGGTATTCGGAGAGTTGGATTGAAGTTGGTGGATGTAACAATCAAAACACTTGTCCAGGTTCGACATGTTCCAAACTTGAAGAAGAACATCTCGCCGAGTACCCTGGATTCAAGAGGGTACGCGTTCTCTGGAGTAGGTGGAGTCTTGAAGGTCTAGAAGGGTGTCCGTGTTGTATTGGAGGGACGGAGAAAGTCCCAGCTATACATCTTGCAAGGTTGTGCAGAATCAGCGAAAAGACATCAGCACATGTTTGGTATCGTGGTGGATATACGTTTGGCACAGTACCGTTGGGAGTTGGCTTTGAGTCTTCTTTGGAGAATGCTACTCTGTCGAGTTTGGGGGATATGTGTAATTCCGCTTTGCCATCACAGTTCCATTGTATTCAACGGCTAGGGAGATACCCATTGGAGATAGGTACGAGGATGCCGATCTGAATGTGCATGCTTTTGGAGTTGTTGAAGGTGAAAAGTCTATCCATGGGTCTTCAGTTAAAGCATTTAGTGTAGATTCTAGTACAGGGTGTGCATCGACCATATTTGGTAAATTTTGAATTCTTTGTGAATTTTGGAAACTCGGTGGTTGGGTTCATTTATCCTTGTTAGATATGGTGGAAGAGGAGGTGTATTTTCTGTGTGTTGGAGAAGTTCAGTTTGGGATGAAGAGTTCAGTTTATTCGTTGCAATCAGTCTTATTTTTTCAGGTGGAGAAATTTTGAAATTTCGTTCGTGGCATTGGAATTTATGTCAATATGGAGATTGTTGGATTTTGTGACCCAAATTATGTGGAATATTTTGAGAAAATATTTTCTTTTATTTCACGTGTTTTATTGTAAAAATATTATTTCTTTTTATTTCACGTGTTTTATTGAAAAAATATTAGTTCCTTTATTCCACGTGATTTTTTTTTTTTTTATCTTGTGTCCATCTTTGTGATATTTCTAAGTCTTATAAGCAGTAGACTCTTTATTCAGTTTAGTAGATTGCAGAAGTTGCTGAAAGTTGTATTTTATCTCCATTGGTTGTCATTAATAAAATATTCGGTTCCTCTACCAATTTCTTATTTGTTTTCTTTTAAATCTTGTTCTTATTTATTAGTTTGTGAGATTTATACTTCATATGGCGTCATATCACCTCCTCAAATTCCTAACAGACGCCAAGAATGACACAAGCTGATTAAGAAGGATATTTTGAATATGTAAATTAAACCTTAACTTTCTAGATTTGGATGATAATTAATTGTTGAAATGTGGTAGTCTGTTTGATTTTGACAATTGCCTACAAGATTAAGGAAAACTGTGCTATTTTAAAACCTACTGGATTTTAATTTCAATATTTTGTTAATTTGATGATGATTAATGATGATTTTTTTTTTCCATAGGGTATGTACTTATTCAGAATAGGATCTGATTTTAAATTGAATTCTAATTCATTGCAATGTTGAATCTTGAGGGTCCGAACTGGGTCCAATTGAAAGAGAACACATTGAACCTTGTGATTAGAAATGAATTTATATTAAGGTCTAGACAACTGGCAAATAATTTAGTGAATAACAGAGGGTATGTATGCATTGGATAAATTGTGCTAATAAAACATCTACAATTTTTCTTCGTAGTCCGTTTATGGGATCGAAGCTCCTGATTGATTTAACTAAAAATCAAATTTTGATAAAAAAAAAAAAAAATTTGATGAAATATTTGGTTAAAAAGTTGATAAATGTTGTTGGTTCAATGAAAGGTATGATAAAAAATGAATTTGAGAAAAAATAAATTCTAAAAAATAGAAACAAAACATGATATATGAGTGCTTAAATACATTTTTTCTGATGGCTAGGTTGATTATAGAAAAGGATTGAATGAGGATGCCATGTCCAAGAAAAACACAGGACGAGTTTGGTATTTGGATTTTGCTTTTGTTTCCTTTAAAAGAGTTTCCAAAAAAAAACTACTTTAATTTCTATTTGAAAACTAATTTTAAAAGAGCTTCCTATTTCGAAAGTATTTTTTTTTAAAAAAAAAGTCACGTTGAACCAATTTTCTGTAAAAACTTCTAACTAAAAAAATAACATTTTCATAAAATTAATCAAACAAGTCCAAAAACAGCCCTGGATCTCAAAACCCATGCCAAAACAGGCACATAGTCCCTCTTTGGTGTAGCTTAAAAATTTAAGTCAAAGTCAACAATTAATTTTAATTACACATTTAATATTATTTACAACATTTATCAACTTTTTGGCTATATATTTCTTTAACGACAAATTAAAATTTACTAAGAATCTAATTTTTAACTATACCGAACACATAGTTTTTAAATGGCTTAACAGTAGCAAGATCTCTTACCTATTGGACGTTGTGCGAAATCCCCTACCTATGAAAATAGCAGAAAAATGTCCATGTTTGAAACTTTTTATGTGAAATACCCTTTGCCGTTATGTGCCATTAAACCATGCAATTGATCACTTCTTTGCAAGAATAATTTTGGTGGGAATTTTGTTTTTTGTTGAAACAAACAGAGTATGGATGAGATGAGGCAATCTCTACTGCTGACTATGGAACTGGAAGACACAAAATTAAAGGAAATATAATTTTTACGTACTTTTTAATCATTTACTTTAAAAAAAAAAATCACAAAATTTATTCTCAAATAATC